AAAAAGGGTGCAGCAAGCACCCTCTTGAATCCACTGTTTAGCTGCAACCAGAACAGGTTCACACTTTTAAGGATGTCGAGCGAGAATCTCACAGCCAAAGATGGTAGTCAGAGCCAAAAGATGTATCTGCAGATAACAGCTGGCAACAGCACCCAAAAGCCACAGGCGTTAGGCCCAGGACAACCATGTGGTGCCTATGGTTTGTACCCCTCCCAGTCTGGACAATGACAAGCACGTGAGGCTTACCTGGCTTGTTCTCACACACAGGTGTAACCCAAGGGCTGGGTCAGCAAACAGCTAAAAAATTCTGATTATAACCACAAAATGGTAAGCCCCAAAACATGTTTCCAATGGCAGCAGATTTGGTTTTAGCAACCCTGAGCTGAAGCACAGATCATACACAATGCCTCAATTTTGTTAGTGGTCAGCTTTTCAAATGGGGAAAAAAAAAAAATCAATGTAAGTACACCTAAATTCCTCAAGCACTTCGGACACTTCTCCCCAGGGTCTATTACCCAAGTGGTGAAGACACCAGAGGAGAAGGAAAACGGAAGACAGACAGACCATTTATTTACATAACTGTCTCTGATTTCTGATCCTCCCCATTCTAGCTTTTTCTAACACTGCAAAGGGTAGTTACCAAGCGACTAAAGTCAGAGCTAGCACTTCTGCATTTGGGAACCCAGTAACAACTCCTAACTCTGTGTTTACTCACCCAAATCGAGGCAGCTTTGTTTGGGTGCTAAGAACCGCACTCAACTTGGGGCAAATTTTTACTGTAACAGAACACAAAGATTTTATTGGAAGGCTACAGTGATTGAACTGTGGTTCTTCAGAGAAATAAGGCGCTTTTTTTTTTTCCAGGTAGAAATACATCACGTGGCAGTATCTTTTCTGAATACCTGTTTTCATTTTCCTTATCTCCAAGCAGTCACGTGTCCAATGACACTACCACCTAAATTTAGCTCATTCTGTTAGCACTTGCAATCCTACCGATGCCTGTAGGACTGCAACACACCTTTCTTCCTCTCAGTCTCCCCTCTCTCCTTCGGCATACGGGGCCATTACTAAAACAGCAAAGCAGACGGCATACCAGAAGCCTCCCGCTTTCGCCCTGCCACCCCAGAAGAGCACTGGGACCCTCTCCGCTGCAAGGACAGTGCAAGCCGCCTGTTTTGTTCAGTGCAACGCCCATCCCTCGCAGGCCCCTTTGTGTTATATCACAGTGCCCCCTCGCTCGCTTTTGTCTCTGTACTGTCAGTCAGTCTGCGTGAAACCCCCACGCCGGACGAACTTTGGGAAGTGGGAATATCCTAACGCAGACCTGCACCTTGTGGCTCTTCGGATATAATTAAGGAGTCACAGATTTACATATGCCTCATCAGTGAGGGGTAAACGCTCCTGTAAATAAGAGCGGATCCAAACTGTGGTTACTTGCCGTTGGAATCTTTATCTAGACGAGGTTTCCCTATTCGGCTGTTGACTCCCTTAAAACAGGCGATGACGACACTGTCCAATAAAGGCAGAGATACTGGCCCACATCCCCAGCCCGCAAAAGGGGTCTGGCAGCTCGCTCAAATCACCTTCACAGCCAGGCCTCTCCTTATGCCCCTCAATCCCGGTGCCCCAGCGCGTTTTGCCACCAGCGGCATCTGCGCTGGCCTTCCAGAAGGAGCGTGATGAGGGGAGGGAAAGGGATTTCAACCTCTGGAGGACTCCATCCACCTTCCCCACACTCAGACCGGTGGGCGAGGACGAGGTGTGTGTGTGGGGGGGGGGATACAGTTAACGGAGCGATAACCCCCCTCGCCGGGAGCCTGCAGAGCAGCCGAACACCGCGGGGGAGGGAGCCCCGCAAACCGGCAGGCCCCTGCCCCGGGAGGCCTCCAAGGCGGAGCCCCGGCCCTGCGGCCGGCAGCCAGGCCCCCCCGGGGGGGTGGGACGCGGGGGGCGAGGCTGGCGGCCCACAGCCCCCCCCCCCCCCCCCCTCAGCGGGAGCCGGCGGAGCCCCGGGCCGCCCCGGTTACCTTGGTCTCCTTGACGTGCTGCTTGATGCCCTCCGGGTACCACTGCACCCGCACGTAGCCCCGCCGCAGCGGGCTGGCGCGGCCCTCCTCCGCGCCGCCGGCCCCGGGGCCCCCCGACTCGGAGCCCCCCGAGCTGGCGGCGCCGCCGCCGGTCCCGCGCCCGCCCTCCTCCTCCTCCGAGTCCGAGTCCTCGCCGTGGATGAGGCGCACCAGGCCGAACCGCACCGAGCCGCGGTAGCGGCCCGACACCAGGTCGTGCGAGAAGAGGAGGCGCTGGGAGCCGCCCGGCGGGGCCGGCAGGGGCAGGGCGGCGGCGGGGGCCGGGGCGGCGGCGGGGGCCGCCTCAGCGGGCTGGTCCGCCATGGCGCCGGGCTGAGCGGGAGAGCGCGCGGCCGGCGGCGCGGGCTGGGGGAGGGGAGGGGCGGGGCGGGCTGCGCGGAAGTAACAGCCCGGGGGCGGGGCGCGGGGGGGAGACGCCCACCGCTCTCGCCACGCCCACCGCTCTCGCCACGCCCACCGCTCTCGCCACGCCCACTGCGCGGGAAAGAGGAGGGCGGGGGGGGGGGGGGGGGCGGCGCTGCGTCACCCCCGGGTCCACAGTCACGGGTGGGCTCCACTGCACCACCCCGGGGTCATGGGGGGCTGCACCTCATCACCCCGGGTCCACAGCCACGGGGGGGGGCGGCACTGAGTCACGCTGGGTCGCTGATCACGGGGGGCGACACTGCATCACCCGGGGTCCACAGACACGGGGGGGGGTGCGCGTCGTCACCCCCAGGTCCCCCCCGGTCGTGGGGGGCTGCACCTCATCACCCCGGATCCACAGTCATGGCGGGAAGCAGTACGTCACCCCCGGATCCCCATTCATGGGGGGTGCACCTCATCACCCCAGGTCCGTAGTCATGGGGGGCAGCACGGCATCACCCAGTGTCCACAGTTACAGGTGGGCTGCACGGCATCGCCCTGGGTCTCTGTCATGGGGGGTGGCACGGAGTCACCCTCGGGTCCCTGGTCACAGGTGGCAGCACTGCGTCACCCCGTGTCCACAGTCACCGGGGGGTGCACCTCATCACTCCCTGCATCACCCCCAGGTCCACAGTCGTGGGCGGCAGCACTGCATTGCCCCTGGTCCACAGTCATGGGTGGGCTGCACTGCATCATGCCTGGTCACCCAGTCGTGGGGGCCTGCACCTCAGCACCCCCAGGTCCCCAGTCATGGGGGGGCAGAGATGCCCCAGTGCCCAGCTGGAGCAGCCGATGGGTCTCTCACCCCAGAAATGTGTGTGCCTGTACTATAAAAAGCCTCGACACAGCAACCCAGATGGAGGGATCTGCACGAGGTGGGGGTACAAAACCTACCCAGCGCCCCTTACCCCCACCCAGGCCCCCCCGTGCCCTGTGGGATGGCCACCCTGGGCATGGGCTGGGGGGCCACCCTGCCTCTGGGCACTGTGCTTTGCTGGGAGGTGCTCTCCAGCCAACAGCAAAGCCCAGTCTTGCTTTTAATGGCTCCTAGAAGCCCTCATTAGGGTGTGCAAATGAGCCAAATGTTTAGTTTCATTGACTCTAAGAGGTTTTTTCCCCCTCAGTCTGCAGGGATTTTTGAAATAGAAATCATTTCTTGAGTGGGTCCTGCTGCTCTGGCAGGTCAAAGGCTAAAGGAATCCCAAATAGCCTTCACTGCCTGTCTTCTACCCAAAGATATCCCACCTCTTTACTCCCTGGATCTCCCCACCTTCGTAGTGCTGTCTGGAATATCAGGAAAATGCCTGAAAATCTCAGCCTGACTTGCTTTGTTGCAGGAAAGACCCCAGGAGCAGCAGAGCACTGTTTTCCTTCCTTCCCACTCCCACAAACGTGAGGCTGCTCTGCCATGGGTGGCTCAGCTGGCTATCAGTTCTCCTTACAAGGTTTCTTCTTTAGGAAAAACAACCAGGAGAAAGGTCTGCCTCTAATCACCTCTGAGATTCACCACCCCAGGAGGGAGCAGGGACCCTCCCCTCAGGCCTGCTGGGATTTTCCAACCTTCCCTATGGCCCCAAAACCCTGGGAAGCAGCTGGGAAGAGGCTGGGGCAGGTGGTGGGGGGGTGTGGGTGAGGGATGTGCTGGGAGCCAGCCAGCATTTCAACTCTGCCCATCTCCTTGGATGCTCTAAGTGATGGTGAAGTACAAACTATTTCCGTTTTGCCTCCAAACCAGGGAGTTGCAGGCGGTGCGAGCATTCAGCGCCTGCCTTCCCCCAGGCCCTGGGTCAGCCCAACCTCCACGCCAGCATTTCAGCACTTTTAACAGCATCATTTTAATCAGAGGGATATCGTGTTAATGTAGTTCCCTGTTGGAGCATTGCTCAGCATCCACCCCAGGGATAAGGAACAGAATAAGCTAAAAGGGACTGTTGGATGGGAAAATAACAGCATAGCCTTGGGGAAAGACAGCTGTTTACAGGGATGTGCTTCTGGGAGTAAGTCTGCAAGCCATGACCTCTGTAAAGCAGAGGAGGTGGGGTATGGAAAGGTGACACGTGAATGCCACCAGCACAAGGATGTCTGACCATCATTGTGCTGGAGCGGGGAGCACGGCACCCCTTCCCAAGGCATACAGCCAGCCCACCCAGAACGGCGGGTAAGGTGCTGGCCTCCCTCCCTCTGAAGATGGGGAGAATTGTGCCTCGGTGGGAGCAGGATTGGGCCTTTGGGATGGGGAGAGGTTGCCCTCTGGCTCCGTTGGTATTGGCAGCATGTTCTTCTCAAGGTTTCAAAGCATGGCTTTATCCAGCATGGCGATGCTTCTCATCATCTCCTTAACGTACCTTGTAACAGCCACTAATAAAATATAGATACACATAATGGGCATAATCATGTGTGTAGATGGAAACTGTCCCTCTTCAGAGCAATTACATGCTGAAGAGCAGCAGTGGGGTTTCAGGTAGCCACAAATAGCCATGCAAACAATCACATTATACAACCAGCGGGTTCACGGCAGGGGGATTTTAATGGGGACAAGTCAGGGCTGTTTGCCTGTTAGCAGGAGTTGAACCGGGTGTGTTTTTGCACTGTGATCCCAGCTGGGGCTCTGATGTGCTTCCATCGGGAAGTGGCACTGAAGGAGAACTCAGTGCTTTTTCAGGACACAGCCCAGGGCCTCGACTGCCACAACACTGGCATGCTTTGGGCACGTTACAGTCCCTGGGTGTCGAGAAGAGCATCTCCTATTCAACACGCCAGGCTGCTCAGATCTCCGCTGAGGGACCTTGACAAGTCAGACCACCCTGCAAAATATCAAGGCAAAAGCAAGAAGCATTTTGTATGCACACATGACTGCTTTGGTGAATGAGACTGGTTCAGCAGGAAGCCTGAACATGAAGGACTTCTTCTGCAAAGTGATACCCATCAAGTAGCTTCCCCCCCCTGTTCAGGGACAATTCCTGGTGTTAGGCTGTTTTGGGAAGCGATGGCCCTTAATCTCTTTGCAGGAGAACATCCTCCCTGCAAGCAAGCTGCTTGTGTGATCTAACCACCTCTCGTGCCTCTGTGCCAGGATACTGGTGAAAAGCACGATCTGTCCTTCCTCACTAGGACCCAGCTGGTGATGGGGGCAGCTCTCATGGGACATTTTTGCACGGGCCTTGTGGGGGTTATGGGGGTGGGTGCCAGGATGCCTGCAGAGTACTAGGGTGCTTGCAGGGGGCTCTGGTGCCCACAGGGTGCTGGGATGCCTGCAGGGTGCTAGGATGTCTGCAGGGTACTGGGGATGCCTGAGGGTACTGGGGTGCCAGGAGGTTACCAGGGATGTCCAGAAGTACTGGGATGCCCAGATGGTACTGGGGATGCTCAGGGGTACCAGGATGCCCGGGTTTACTGGGATGCCCAGAGATTATGGGGGATGCCTGGAGGGTACCGGAATGCCCGGGGGTTACTGAGGATGCCCAGGGCTACTGGGATGCTAGGGGGTACCGGGGTGCCCGGGGGTTACTGGGGATGCCCGGGGGTACCGGGATGCCCAGAGGTTATGGGGGATGCTGCAGGGTTACCGGGGATGCCTGGGGGTACTGGGATGCCTGGGGGTACTGGGGTTGCCCAGGGTTACCGGGGATGCCTAGGGGTTACTGAGGATGCCCGGGGGTACCGGCGATGCCCAGGAGTTACCGGGATGCCTGGGGGTTACTGAGGATGCCCGGAGGTTATGGGGGATGCGGGGGGTTACTGGGGATGCCCGGGGGTATCAGGGGTGCCCGGGGGTACCGGGGATGCCCAGGGATGCCGGGGTGCCCGGGGGTACCGGGGATGCCCGGGGGTACCGAGGTGCCCGGGGATACCGGGGATGCCCGGAGGTTACCGAGGATGCCCGGGGGTACCGGGGTGCCCGGGGGTACCAGGGATGCCCGGGGGTTACCGAGGATGCCCGAGGTTACCGAGGATGCCCTGGGGTACCGGGGTGCCCGGGGATACCGGGGATGCCCGGGGGTTACCGAGGATGCCCGAGGTTACCGAGGATGCCCAGGGGTACCGGGGATGCCCGAGGGTACCGAGGATGCCCGGGGGTACCGGGGTGCCCGGGCTGCGGCGGGGCTCTGGTGCCACCTCGTGGGCTGCCGCCTCCCGCCGCCGCGCAGGGTCCGGCCCGGTCTGGGTCTGGCGGGAGCGGGGGGGGGCGCCGGTCTGTCGGTGCGGCGGAGCAGCAGCTTTGCTCGGCAGCCCAGCGCCTGCAGACGGGGCTTGCCCGCCGGCCCGGGGCGGCTGCTGGAGCTCCGCGGCAGGACAGCGCTCAGCACCCCTCTGCTCGGTTCTGCAGCTCCTCCTTGGCTAATCCTGCCAATATTTTCTTCCTTTGCTGCTTCCCAGAGACACACGTGTTCCTGTACCACCCCTCGCAGCTGCTCGGAAGAGCTGATGCCTTCAGAAAAAGCGGTTCGGAGCAAAGCTTGCCACTCAGACCCCAGGAAATATCTCCAGACCTTCCCGCAGGGACAGGCTGGGAGTTTATTGCCACCATGCAAGCAAAGAGCTTAGCAAGAATTTCTGATGCCCGATCACATCAGGGAACAGAAATATTAGCAAGCCATGCAGCATATGGCAATCTTTCATCCTGTTTCGGTGAGCCCAGCAAGTCTCCCGAGGATGGGTGGGCAGGGGAAAGTGTCTCCCTTGTGAGAGGGGCCCCTGGCAGTGCATGGTGACCCCATCCTGCATGGGATTACCTGGCCCTTCCCTCCTCGCTTTTCTGCCTTGACCAAACACCTCTGGCCCTCCCCACAAACGCCTTCAGCATGGTGTCACCTTGTATACATACAACTTTATGGAAGCGCAATCCTCCTCCTCTCTCTCTCATCTGGGATGCAGGGTTTGGCTTCCCCGTAGGTGGTATCTGCTCCCCACCCCTCCCCATGGGGTCACCCTGGCTCCTGCCAGCCCTGCCAGGGCTGGACCAAGGGCAGGAGAGCTGCAGGGCTGTAAGAAGCAGGATGCCCCAGCAACGACCACCCAACTGCCATGTCCCAAAGTCAGAACTTGATCTAAACTGCCTGCAAGTTTGGGGCTGGAGGGTGAGGGCTGACTCTGCCAAGCCCCTTCCCACCTGCCTGGCCCTCTTCTCCCACAGGAGCCCCCGCACCCCCCTTGAACCTCCTCCTCCTCCTGGGGGTTGTGTTGTTAGTGGCCATGACCTAGTGACAAACTCCCACAGCCCTGCAGAGAAAAGGAAAGGTGGTTAATCACTGCCATACCTGTGCTTTAGGGAGGGGATAAAAGATTCCAGCTGGGTCCTGGCCCTCCGCCTTCTGCTTTTGGCTGAGCTTGCCCTGGCCAAGCAGACATGGGTGAAACTGTTCCCCAGAGTGTTTGTACTCTTTCCTCAAAGGCTCACGTAGAGCAGTAACAAGATACACCATCCCTGCAAAGGCACGTGTTGATCTAGCGCAGGTCAAAGCCAGCATTCAAAGCCCCCCCGAGCATCGCTGGGATCCCAGATAAGCTGTGCAGCAGCACCCAGCTCCCTGGGACTGCAGAGGGAGCTGGCCCTGCACCCTCGCAGAAAGGGCATCAGCTGCACCAATGGGCCAAAAGAAATATGCCAGAGGAAAGCTATGTATATGTATGTTATATATATATTATACATGCTAACATTTCAGAACATAGAGCAGAACCAGCCCCTCCAGGGTCTATTTAGGGGCTGGGGTCTGGCCACCATCCACAGGAGCCCTGTATTGTTATTCTGAAAGAGCACCAGCTCGCAGGCTCCTAAGCCGCACCAAATCCCCGCTTGGGTGGAGAGGCTGGAGCCACACTGGCTTCACAGGACCTGCTGGTGATTTTGAACTGCTCTTGGCAGCACGAGAGGGGAGCACTGAGGGATAAAAGCATCAGGTAGCCGGTCTGGCAAGCGCTGAGAATACCGAGTGTGCCCAAAGAGCTGCATCCTGCTGTGAAGTTACAGCTACGACAAGCACTCACACACTGCCAGTCTGTGGCAGCTGATAAAAAGGCAGGAGACGAGAGAGGATGAAATCAGAGCTGTGGCTGACCTTGCAGCGATGCCAAACTGCAGAGCCCTGATGCCACCCACGATATGCCATTGCCAGGAGAAAAGTGTCACCCTCTTGGATACGTGGGTCCCGATAGCTAAGCTGGGGGAAGATGTAAAACAGGGATGTGAGCAGTGTCCAGCTTGGCAATTATGTGAGTAATTACACGAGTTTGGGAGAGAAACCTCCCTGATGGTGCCACACAGGGGAGGACCCTGCTGCCACCTGCGTCCCCTGTGATGGCAGACCCTGCTCCTTGAGGCCAAGGGGCTGCGAAGGCAGCAGCCACCAAAAGCAGTTTAATCCCCCTGAGCACCGGGATAACCCGGCGCTGCAGCGGGGTTGGAGGCAGAGCACAGCACAGCTGAGGAGCCCCTGGGCTCTGTGTGTGTGTCGCTTCATTCCCAAGTCCTGGCAGAGCGGGGGACAAGTCGTGATTCATCTGCCTCCCACGTGTCGCCCCTCGCTGCAAATCCTACCCGGAGATAATTGCTGTCTTCCTGAGCGGGCACCCCAACGGAGGGACCAGTCTGGCTGCGGAGCCGGAGTGACAGCTCGGGGCTCTTTGAAGATGCTGAGAGAGCTGCTAAATATGTAAATCTCAGCACATTGCTGTGGCTCTGGATTAATGGAGTTTTTGACCCTCTGCAGCTGTGTAGGAGCAGGGAGAGACAGACCCAGATAAAACCACAGAGAGCAGCATCCCTGCTTGACTATTCCAGCCACGGGCCAGCCTCTGCTCTGCTGGGCTCAGTTTTTATTGCTCTGAAATTCCATTTCTGAACAGCAGAAAGCTTCTGGATTGTATTTCTTTTTCAATTCCATGAAAAAAACTTAAAAGAAGGAGATAAGGGTGTAGCCCCAGGTCAGTTTGCCCGTGGCTGGAAACTAAAGCAGGTCTTGAGCTCCCCTGGAAATGTCTCCAGTGGAGCAAAGCCAGCTCTGCCTCCTGCTCTGCCTCCTGCTCTGGGCTTCTTTCAGGGCTGCATCTGGTTCATGATGATAATGATGATGCCAACATCATCCTCACGCCTGGGATAATCCCCCTTTTATTACACATGTCCTGATGGAGACCAATATTGCCAGCTTTGCCTAGCCACTTTCTTATATAATAGCTCCCAGGGACCGAGGGCTGCATGGGGGAGATGCTTGCTCTTTGGAGTAATTTCCTGGGGGCACAAACCTTAGATCTGGCCCCCCATCCTACAAGGAGCCGGCTGATTCCCCTGAGAAATTCCTCACCGTCCCATCCTTATTGCAAAGAAAGTTCATCCATGCCCAGCAGCGCTGCCTTCACCTTCCTACGGGCTCCCGAGGCCGTCAGAGGGGTCTGGATCAGGCACAACACTTTTCTCTCCTTTCCTAGCTAAGTCCTCTGCTCTCCCTGCCCAGCTCACAGCAGGGATTCAGAGCAGAGCAATCAGCTAAATGCTTTATCCCTCTGCAGGCTGTCATGCCAGGGAAAAAAAAAAAAAAAAAAAAAAAAAAAAAAGGCAAAAAAAAAAGTGCCTGATGGGATCCTTTGGCTGGCCTGTCACCTTAAAGCCTCTCACCTCTCCCTATCTTTCATCAGGATTATAAACTCCTTAGTTTGTCATCACGTGCTCCAGAAATTACAAATATATATAAGCAGGGGTTGCGGCGGGTACAGCAGACAGAGGAGGGGAGGCAAAACCCTGGGTCCTCCTCTCCTGCCAGCTGCCAGACAGCACCACTGGAGCCAGGCGGGCGGCGGGGTGGCGCGGGGTCCCCTCCGGTAAGCACCCACATTTCTGCTGCATCCTGGTGGTACCAACAGCCTTGGGGACAGCTGGTGGTCCTGAGACCACTGTGACTTGCCAGGTCCAGTATCCCAGGATGGGTGGAATTGCCCCAGAGGGAACGGAGGTTGGTGCATGGAGCTTAGCTTGCCTGAAAAGTGACTTTGGTGGAGGTAAGAGCGTGACTGTCATCACAGCCTGTGTCCCATCCCTACACTTCCAACACACGCTATCAAAACCTGGGTGCAGGGACTCTTCTCACTGAAACCCTCCATGTTCAGGGTGTGGGCAGAGCTCAAGCTCTTTTGCAAAGAATATTTGTCTTCAGAACTGGATGAATAACTCCTTACTGCCAACTCATTTAAGAATTCAAGCTCCAAATCCAGGCAGACATTCATAACATAATAAAAAGGTCCTGTTGGGGGGGGGGGGGGGTACTGCATACTTACCTGTTTATTGACATGTGAGCATCTCTCTGGACCATGCAGATGCTTTGATCTCTAGTGCACAAACACAAACAAGGCGAAAAATGTACAGTGTGAGCTTTTGGTACCCTGCTACGTACACACAAATGTATTGGGCTCGTCTCAGGCAGATCTGGTAAGGAGTTGCAGCACAAAATTTAGCCTGGGGTATAAGTGACTTGAACAATATACAGGAGGCTGTATTGGAGCACTGGAAGGCAGATATCTTGAGCCAGAGAGAGGATTTTTCCTCCTCTTTCTGGTTCTCACCTATTCTGTGACCTGGGGAGAGCTTCCTTCACCTCTGCAGATTGGACGGGCCCCAGGGGTACCAGCAGTGCTGGTACCCCCATGGGGTCAGCTCTGGGGATGGGCTGGGGAGCATGGATGGATCCTTTGTGCTCTGCAGGCTCTATGTATCCCCCACCCCAGAAGACCTTTGCATCTGCGGGGAGCTGAGAAACAAAGCAAAAAGTTCATTTCCAGAAAACAAACACAAATATACCAGTCCTCCAGCGGTTTAACCTGGGTTGCCAGGAATAAAGTGCCAGAGGGGAAAAAATACAAGGAAAACAAGCCTTTCCCCATCACTGCCTGCTGATCCAGGCTGTTGCTGATTGGGGTCTCAAGAAATTTCTAAAAATAGTTGGAGGGATCTGATTCCCCTTTCCTGGTTATCTCTAATGGGAACGGAGTAGCCACGTGCACAAGAAATCTTGAAACTCCCTCAGCTCTGTGGATGTCCTGTAGAGACTTTCCACTATTCAGTTCTTTCCAGCCTTTGTATGATCAGAGATAAAGACTTGCTCTTGGACATTGAACTGTTTAACAGTGGCTACGGGTGAGAAGACATCCCTGAGCAACCTGATCTAGTTGAGGATGTCCCTGCTCATTGCAGAGGGGTTGGACTAGATGACCTTTAATGGTCCCTTCCAACCCAAACTGTTCTATGATTCCATGATCCTGCTCCACCATTCCCATGGCAGCTGCAACACCAGCCCTGCCTGAGATTGTACTCAGCTGGCTGCTCTGCCCTGCCATCCCAGAACCTGCCCCAGGCACTCAGCACCACTCAGGATCAAACCACCGTTGCATTTTCTAGGTGCCCAGAGCCTACCCCCTTGCCTGCTCTGGGATTTATCTGGGTGGATGAGCCCCCAATCCAATTAGCAGGATGAGGAGTTCCAGAAGATTTGATAGTAAGATGTACAAAAACACTACAAACCTGCCCAGCGCCCCTCTGTCCCCTCCAGCTCAGCCACCCCTTTACTTCCCTCCTACATGTTTTTGGGAGCATGAACCACCCATTCCCAGCATCATTAGTTAGTTCTTGGTGACTAGAATGTGCATTGAGGATGCTAATTAATTCCCCTGCCAAAGAAACCACCTCTCCCTGATAGACCCGCTCTCTTAGATACACACCCCCTGCCAAACCAGCAATTCATTGAAAATAAATCACAACAACACCCTGTCGCACCTCAGACTGGATAAAACAGGCATTTCAAGCACCCAGTCTTTGGCATTTCAGGATGGAAAATTCCCAGCTTGTGCTGGTTCTGCCCTGTGCAATGTTTGTGCTGGTAATGCTTTATTTCTATAAATCCTATTAGCTGGAGGCAAGCCTATAATTAGCAGGGAAAGCCGGCACCTCTCAAACAATACTCAAAAATGACCTGGCTTTGCACTGGCTTTGCTGCAAATTGCTTGAATATTGGGCTGAGCGGGGATGGATGGACAGCTCCGGAGCAATTCCTACTATTTCTGCCCGTGGGATGCATGTGCTTAGCAAAGCTATTTGTTCATTTTGTGGTTCTCTCTGTATATATTAACTTGGTTTGCTCACACACAAAACCAGAGGCAGATTGAAGCTACAGGCTCTGATCCAGGCTGAGGGATTTGGCTGGGCTGTGCAGGACGGGTGCTGCCGGCTGAGCTCGGGGAGCTCGGGTGCTGGTGACCCTCCTGGGGGAACGGAGGGGTCTGGGGTCCCGCGTCACAGGTGGCATGTCCTGGGTTGGGCTGTGCCCGGTGGGATCACGCTGCCCAAAGCTCCCGGGACAGGGGGCAAAGCCTGGGGGCACCTCACCCAGGTGGGATGCCCGAGGCTCGTGGCAGCAGGGACCCACTCATCCTGCCACCGGCTCACCTCAGCTACATCCGTGAGCGTGGACGTGACCCGAGAGCCCAACAGGGCCTGAGCTGTGTCACTCACCTGCTGAGCGAGCCGGAGAAGGGAGCAAATCCCGGTGGGTCGGGCTGTCTCTGGGATGCAGCTCTGGCTGCCCGACGTGTCTGTCACTGACCGCTCGCTCACGTACAACCACGCAGCACTGCGTGGAGCTTTCCCCCAGAGATGCTTCTTTTGTAGCCTCTCAGCTTCCCGCAGTCACCTCCCACCCTGCCTGCCCCCAGGGCAGGGGCTGGACTTACCCCGGGGCTCTCCTGCCCATCCGGCTTTGCCATGGGCTGGCTCGGGAGATGTGGGGCAGGATGCTCGGCCCCATGCCTGCTCCCCCCAGCTCTACCAGCCCCTGTCCCTGCTCTGTCCAGCTGCTGGCAGCTGATCACCAGGCTTTTGCCCTCTGTGTCCCTGGGACTACAAGATTTTTACAACCCATGGGTGGTGCCAGGTGCCTGCATTGGCCCCAGCTTGCAGTGCCAGCAGACCCGCAATGGGATCACTGTGGGCAGGTTTTTGCTGTATATAGAGAGATATATATGTATAGGAAAAAGGTGGCAAGCAGCCTAATCCTATGTGTGATGAACAGGTATTTTCAGCAGCTAAGAGCGCTGGAGGAGATTGGCTGAGCTAAAAGGTGCCGTGACGCTGCCGGGGCCAGGAGCTGGCAGAGGCTGCCCCGAACAGACGGAGGGGTGGGCAGGAGGAGGAGGATGTCGGCACTCAGCGCGTTGCCTTTCCTGAAGCCCGTTCACCTGAGGTCCCCCCGGAGCTCGCCCGGGGGCCAGCGCCGCCACACGCTGCCCGCCAGTGAGTTTCGCTGCCTCAGCCCCGAGGACGCCGTCAGCGTGTTCGAGATCGAGCGGGAAGGTGAGGGGCTGCCTCGGGGAGGTCCTGACCGGTGGGGTCGGCTGGAGATGACCTGTCCCTTTCCTTCGCTGGTCCCTTGTGCTCCTCGAGGGCACACCCGTGGTGGAAAAACCCCCACGTCTGTGCTCACAGGTGATGAGGGAGGGACCCAGCGGCGGTCACTTGTGGCCAGGCCACTGTGGGGTCCCTAACAAAGTGCAGGAGGCTGTGATTAAGGAGGTGGAGAACCACGGCCCCCAGCTGACCCAGCTTCCCGGGGTGGGGATGGTGGGATACAACCCCGGAGCGGGACCGGGGGAGTGGGGAGCAGCTCTCCCAAACAGCCCTGCCAGAGGCAAGAAGACAGGACAGGGGGAAGGTAGGAGGAAGGACACCATGCTCAGCCTCCTATTGCACAGAGGCACTTTGAGATGCACACCCAGCAACCTTCCCCCCTCCCCTCTGTCCCAGACACCCTCAGCTCCTCTCACCCAGCCTCACCCAGCCCATTTCCCCCTCCTCTCCAAAGGGCAAGGGCAGCCGAGGAGATGCTGGGAGGGAGGGCTCATCTCAGCACCCACTGCTGTAGCTCTGGAATCAGCAATGAGAGCGGGGAGCTGGTCCCTGGGCTGTGGGGGGCTGCCTTTGGGGGAGCAGAGCTGCCTCCCTGGAGCCATCCACATCCCTTAGAGCTCCTTTAGACCAAGCAGGCAGCAGGACACATGCCATCTCTCCCCATCACATCCCACTTTCCTCCCCTACCTCGGTGCTGGGAGATTTTCTGGGTCTGGGTGTCCTGAGTCTCCCTCACTGTGCTCACCACTGTCCCCCTCTAGCCTTTATATCTGTCTCTGGGGACTGTCCCCTCCACCTGGATGAGATCCGCCACTTTCTGAACCTGTGCCCAGAGCTCTCCCTCGGCTGGTTTGAGGAAGGGCGGCTCGTGGCGTTCATCATCGGCTCCCTCTGGGACCAGGAGAGGCTCAGCCAGGTAAGAGCCGGACCCTGTTCTTCCCAGCTTGTGCCCTGGGAGAGACCCTGCCACAGCCTGGGGACAAGGAGAAGCTCCCCAGGCCCCCGAGGCTACTCACCAAACCTTCTCCCAAGACTAACTGCTAGAAGGCTGCTCTGGTGGAAATGAACTTTCTTATTAATTAATTTTACCGACGCTGTTAAAAAAAATATGCCAAGTAATTCCCCTCAACATTAATTTTAAAACTAAAAAGCCTCCAAGGGTGATGGGGGGAGGTGAAGGGGGGGACGGCATCGGGACCCTTTTCCCTTTGCGGGGAGGATGTGGACCCTGGTTCATCGGGGTGGGGAAGGCAGGCACACGCCGGACGGGACCCCCCGGTCGCACTAACCCCCCGCTCCCCCCTCGGCAGGCAGCGCTGACCCTGCACAAGCCGCGGGGCACGGCGGTGCACATCCACGTGCTGGCTGTGCACCGCACCTTCCGGCAGCAGGGCAAGGGCTCCATCCTCATGTGGCGGTACCTGCAGTACCTGCGGTGCCTGCCCTTCGCCCGGCGCGCCCTGCTCATGTGCGAAGATTTCCTCGTGCCCTTCTACCAGAAGTGCGGTTTCGAGGCGCTGGGTCCCTGCGAGGTGACGGTGGGGGAGCTGGCCTTCATCGAGATGCAGCATCCCGTGCGGGGACATGCCTTCATGCGCAGGAACAGCGGCTGCTGAGCCCGCTCCGGTCCAGCCCTGCCGGGGGTGGGTGGGGGGGGGCTGGAGAGAGGTTGTTGGGAGGGGGGGATAAGGGGCTGCGACCCCTCTCCATCCCCTCCACGGTTATACATCTTCCCTGGCTACAGCTGCTCCCTCTGCCACATCTGCCTTCCAGCCAGGAGATCAGCCCGGCCCCGTGCCAGCCCGGCTGGGGACAGGAATCTCCAGCCTGGCCCCCCTGGAAGCACCGACACCCCCCTCCCCATCAGGTCTGTGCCAGTAAGCCGGGACGGGCTGCAGGGCCCTGTGCCCCCTGGGGAGGGAAAGGCTTTGCCCTAGGAGCAGCTGGGGGGGGGGGGTGTGCTCCGCTGATTTAGGGGTGCTCACAGCCCCGTCTTGCTGAGACACGCAGCAGAGCCCGTCCGTACCTGTGCCCCCAGCCCTGCCCCCCCTCCCACCATCAACACCAACACCACGAGTGAAGCACACCACGGCCAAGCCCTCCCTGAACAGCCCCCCGACACCCCCCCCGGAGCTGCTCCCTGCAGAGCCTCCCTGGGGGACCAGTCCGAACCAGTCTCCCCCACCCTCAGACCCAAGACTGGCCCAGGACAAGCCTTCTGCAAATGCCTCGGGCTGTTGTGAAGGAGCAAATAAAGCTGTGGAGGCAGTTTTCTAAGCGGTCTGTGTGTGTTCCTGCCCTGCTCTGACCATCACCTCACTGTGACAGCCGGAGGGGAGGCACCAGCCTTCACATCCAACACCCCTTGGGGCATCTCAGTGTTGGGGGAGTTGGGGCAAATCCAGCCCTGGGTCATTGGATGAAGGGTGGGATAGAGGCAGGGGTGGTGGCTCTGCCCTTGGGCAGGGTCAGGAGGCTCCACAGGGATTTTTGCTCCAGGCTTTCGGCTCCTCCTTCTGCTTGAGACCTTTTAAGACCTGTCCCCCTCCCAGGGAGGGCTTTGAGGGGTACCAGGGGACAGTGCAGCCCTGCACATCAGGGTACCAGCCCCTGGAACTTCCATCTCTGCCTCTCCCTGACACATCAACCATCACCAAAACAACCAGAACTCCCTAAAAGTGCCACGTCCCCACACCCAGGAACAGACAAGCCTTGTACGTCTCATTAAATACAGGTAGAAATTTATTAGGGGGGGAAAAAACCCACAGCTTTTAAAAAAAGTATCAAAAAGAGACAAATGAGGTGAAGTGTCTGTCTTTGGCTGGAGCAGCACCAGAGGGACAGAGTGGGGCTGAAAACTGGCCTGAGGTGGAAGGAGGGATACAGGGAGGGATGCAGGTACCACAGAGCTCCTGGGGTCACCTGGAAAGTGGTTGTGGACAGAGGGAGCCAAGCTCCCAGCCCTTGATTACTCATCCCAGTTCATCCCAGCTGGGGGATTCACACTTTTCCCCACTTAACAGCACCGAGAGCCACCCGTGCCAAAGCGACACAGATCAGGGGAGAGACAGCCCAGCACCAGCCTGTGTCCAAACCAGCCCAGAGGAATCACCCGGCCCCCGGGAAGGACCTGCCTTTGTGCCTGAGGCCGGCGGGAGGGAGGAGGAGATGCTGGGGAGCAGCTGCCCAGGGCTGGGGGCAGGGGGCCGTGCAGCCTTGGGTACGGAAAGGGGAAGGCGTCTGCCCCATCCTGCGCTTCTCCGTCTGCCCAGCACTGTTTGAGGTGGGGAGGGTTATCTGGGACTCTAGGCTTTGGAAAAGAGAAAGGGGTAACAGCAGGGACTTGAGGCAGAAATGAAAGGTGGGAGCACCAACCACTTCCCGAGGGGTCTGTGAGCTTCTGGGGCAGCCACACAAGCCCCCTCAGGGTGTTTTTCTCCACACCTGCCTCCCAGCATGGCACTACGAATGCGGTACACGCCACTTCTCCGCTTCTGAAAAGGGAATTTCACTGAAATAAGGGGAAAAGAAGCCCTCGAGTGCCAAGTCCTGCTTCTCCATCCAGTGAGGAGCCCAGGTGGGGAAGCACAAGCCTCCTTCCATGGACTCAGGGGAGCATCAGATGCGAGAGCTGGACTGAGAAACACCTCTGAAGCTCAGCTCTGAACACCTTGGAGTCATGGCAGAGGCCCTGGGGAGCTCAAAGTGGGGAAACCCTCAGCCTAAAGAACTGCAGGCAAAAGAAGAAGTGCCCCTGCAAAAAAAGGGGGTTGTGTTCACAGTATGAGCTGCAGTGCTCGAGGGCACCGAGGCACGATGGGGCCCTGGGCAGGCAGGGGTGCAGGCAGAAGACCTCAGTAGCTTTGTTCCCGGGTGTTTTCGAGGCTCCTTGCCCAGGGGCTGGGAACCCAGCCTGGCTGAGGACGCACTAAAATCCCACTTCCTTTGGCCCTTTCCCCACGCAGGCAGCAGCCAGGATCGATCCCCAAACCAGATATGGCTTTTCAGTGCCAAGAGGCAGCCCCAAAGGGGTGCAGCAAGGCAGGGTGGCCCCAGCCCCGCTCCCCACTGCATCCCCAGCATTTAACAGGGGTGACCCCAAACCCACCAGCCCCAAGGATGAAGCCGTGCCCAGGGTCTGTCCCATTCCAGAGGAGCCACCGTCTTCTGGGGGCCGGTAAAGACCCACCCCACGGGAAGCATCACCGCCGGTGCCTCTCCCAGCCCCGTCCCCGCCGGCGGGGTCAGTGCAGGACCTGCTCCAGCTCGTACTTCTCGCAGAACTTGCTGGTGAAAGGCAGGCAGGTGAGATATTCCACCCAGCGCCAGTTCACGGGGTAGACATAGAGCCAGACCACCAGCGAGGCGAAGAGCCCCACGAAGACCAGCAAGGAAACGATGATCATGGCTCGCTTGCGGTACTTGTCCACCGTGCCGAAGGTGATGTAGGGCAGGAAGGCGAAGGAGAGGAGAAGGCCGCTGAGGAAGCCGAAGAGGTGAGCGATGTTATCTATCCATGGTAAGAGCCCGCAGATGAAGAGGAAGAGGACGATGCCAAAGAGGTTGAGGAAGGCTTTCCAGGGTTTCTCCAGCACTTGCCAGCTCTGGAAGAGCTCCACAAAGAGGCAGGCCAGCAAGCCAAACTGGGACCCGGCAGGACCCACCTGTGGGGATGGGGAAAGTCACGGCCAGACCCTGGACACATCCCCATGTTCCCAGGGACCATTTCCTCCTCTGGAAAAACACATTTGGGTCCCGCATCCCTCTGAGGGCTGCACTCACACCGGTGTGGGGCTCAGCGGTGGGAGCCCTGGCACGGGAGGAAGAGGAGGGGAGAACGCTGGTGCTGTTCCAGTAGAGCCGGTGCTTTTGGTGACTCAGCAGCCAGGCAGCACCACCCCCTCCCAGGCCACAGTTGTCTGTCCGTCCTGTCCCCCCCCCCCCCAATCCGCACCCCCGGGGGGGATTAGGGCGCTCGGTGTGATCTCATTTAAAGCCCGGCAGGGTTTTGCTGCCAGCAGATTAGCCATCTGCCCGCCCGGGTTCCCTGCACGCACACCAACATGTGGCGACACGTGACCCACACAGCATGTGTGAACCCCATGTGTGGGGCAGAGACACCCCACCCCCCCCCCCCACTGCGGGGGCACCAACCTCCCACCACCGCCCCCCCTGCAGCAAACCTGCCAGGGGATGAGAGCTCTGTGCTGCAGCCCGCTCCCCAAACCTCTGCCAGGACAAGCATAGGGAAGGGTGGCTGGTCCCTGGGGAGCTGGTTGGGTTTGGGGTGATAGGGGCAGAGCCCCCCTTCCCTGACCCCCCCCCCCCCAGCCCTCACCTCCGCCCTGTACGGCAGGAAGATGGCACTGGCCAGATTGCCCGTGATGCCGCTGAGGATGAAAATGATGGAGATGCGGTGCCAGCCCGCCAGCTTCTCCAGGTCCCTCAGCACCGTCATCTGGAAAGTCACCGACACCAGGCAGTGGATGATGCTGGGGGGAGACACCCTGTGTTAGAGACCCCCCCCTGCCCTGCCAGAGCCCCCCAGCTCAGCCCTCCCACCCGCTGCCCCGCGGCACGAGACATCTTACAAAACACCCTCCACCGACGGCACGTGTCACTGTAGCTTGGGGGTGTCCTCCCCTCTTCTTTCCCAACCCCTTGGGGATCACGGACCAGTCCCAATGGATACTCTGGTCTCAAGTCACCCCCCCAACCCCTGGGGGTGTGGGGGGCTGTGGCTCACCCAGCGTGCAGGAACAGGGACAGCCACAGGCGGTAGAACTGGTCGGGGATCTCCGGGTTGAGGAAGGGCAGGAGGCCACAGACCTCGTCCAGGCAGTGCACCTGCAAAGGCAGGCGGGTTTGGGGGGGTGACGGGAACTCGGCCCACACCCCAGAGCCGCCGTAAGCAACGGAGGGGTCACAGGGACGCGTGACAATGCCACGTGTCAGTTGTGGGGGGAACCTGGGCGGTATGGGCCACCCGTGCTGCCCAGGTGCTGGGGAGGGAGCAGCTGAGCATCCCCAATGCCCCCAGAGATGCTGAAGGGCCACTTCCTTGCCTGGGATGTGCCCTTCCCACGGACACTGGTGCTGCCTGGGTGAGGCTGGCTCAAGCCCTACGTTTCCTCCCGCCCCACACCAGCAAGACGGGCAACACAGCGGCAGGAGGAGTCCGGCCAACAGCTGGGAAAAGTCCCCGCGCCCCACATCCCCCCCACTCCCACCCATCCCAACCCCGTCCCGTCCCTGGTAGGAATCCTTTTGGGGTGTCCCCCACTCACCTGCGAGCAGAGCGTTGCCTCTTCGTGGAAGTAGCCGTGCATGAACTCGCAGTACTCCCGCGTCGTGATCTCGCAGCTGGGCAGAGGGCAGGCAGCGGGCTCGCTCGGGGCAGGGCTCGCTCCCCATTCCCCCTCCCCTGAGCGTCCCCCTCCGCTCCTGGCAGTCGGTCCTGCTGCCACCCTGCTTCCCACCCTCCCCGAGGCTCCGTAACCTCCCTCTCCCCCCCGACCCCGCACAGCTCCAGACACCGAGATAGTGACAACAGGCAGCAGGGCAGAGCGGGGAGCGAGCCCGGGCCGGGTGCCCCCATTGCTGCGACCCACCTGCCCTTGGTGCCGATGCAGCAGGGCCTGCCCTTGATCTGGCAGTCCATGTGGGTGAAGCCTGTGTGGTTGGTTTGGGTCTCGTAGGTGCAGATCTACGAGCAGGAGGGAGAGGAGCCGTGGTCAGGGGTCCGGCCCCAGGCTCTCCCCGCAGCTCCCCCCCCCCCCCCCCCCCCCTTCCCCGGGCTCAGCACCCACTGCATCTCCCACAGAGGCTGTCACCGTGGTGCTACCCAGCTCGCGGTGGCACCGGGCTCTTACTGGCCATTTCGTGATGTCATCTGGCCACACGTGGGGTGGGTTGGACGCCGGCTCCTCACACGTCCTGGTGGGAAGAGGTGAGGGGGACAGTCAGGACAGGTCCCCTCCAACACATCCCTCCCTGCAGACTAGCAAACCCCACCCCTGCAGGCACACAGCCCTGGGACCTGCCCCTTTCCCTGGCTTGGGCAGGATCGTGCCCTGTGGCGCCCTACAACCCCCCCACAGCGCTCACATCTGTCAGAAAACCCCACCGATCCCCCTCGCAGCATCGCCCATCCCAGCAGAGCAGGGCAGGCAGGGGCCAGCGCAAGACAGCAGCGTCACCCATCGCTGCCTACACCTAGGACAGACCCCCACCACGTCCCTCGCCCTTATCACTCTCCTACGGTGTGTAAGAGACCCCCAAGCCCCTTGGAGGACTCGAGACATCCAGGCTGGAAACACAGCCCCATGCAGCACTTCTGCCGTGCCCTGTGTACAGCCGGGTGACCGCGCCGCCTCCCCCCCAGCCGCCACTCCTACCTGGGGTCCTGGTGACACACGGCCCCCGATATCCTCTTCTCACCCAAGCCCATGGTCGGCGCGTTGGTGCCCGGCCACTTGATGAACGTCGCCAGTGTCTCCTGCGGGGAGGATGGAGAGACTCGAGGATGCGGCAGCAAACGCACCGCTCCGACGCCGCAGGCACCCTGCCCCGGTGCCGTGCAAGGCAGAGGTGGTTTCCCCCCCTCGCCCCCTTTTCCTCCCAGGGAGCCCCAGCACGCACCGAACAGTCCTGCGGCAGGGTCTGGATGCAGCCCGAGTTGTCGTTCTGGACGCAGCAGCCGGAGCCACGCTCCCGGTCCCGCTCGCGCTGGATGAGCCGCTCCACCTGCCGATCCTTCCGGATGCAGGGGGAGAACTTGGCTCCCAGGTGGATCAGGTCGATCTGGGAGGGAGATGCCGGTCCAGGGGGATACTCTGTGGCCCCCCCGCACCTCCCCTCCTTCCAGCTGCCCCTGGGGAGAGCTCAGTAGGGGCAGGGGGTCCCCACAGGCGATAGCCCTGCGTCTCTGTTACCCCAGTGAAGGCGGGTGGCAGGGGGACAGGGTTCCTTCTGACCATCCCACCGTGGTGTGGCAGCTCTGGGAAGCACTGCTGAACCCCCAGGACCGGGCAGCAGGTCCCAGAGGGATGGGGGCACCGAGGGCCTGGGGCAGCAGGCTGGGACGAGGGGTCAAGCTCTCCCGCCGGGGAGAGGAGCACCCAGGGACCCTCCTCAGCTCAGGGCAGGGGGAGCAGAGGCTGGTGGAGGGCAGAGCCTCAGGTTGGGGGGTGAGGGCTGGGGGTCTGACAGGGCTCTTACCGAACTGGGCCCGATCCAGAAGTTTTCCTGCTGGATGTACTTGACGCTCTCATAGACACCCTTGTTCCTCAGCACCTGCCGAGCCAGGCCAGGGTCAGCTCCCCATCCCCTGGCGTGCAGCCCCATCCCCTGCCACTTGCAACATGCTTGTCCAGCACACACGGACCCCCCTGCCTTGGTTATTTAATGGAGCCTCTCAAAGAGCACCCCAAGATGCTCCCAGCCCCAGCAAGAAGCACAACAGCATAGGATACTGGTGGTCACTGTCCCCCCAGGAAGATGGATGCCTGCTCTTCTCTGCAGCCCGGGTGCCAGGGGAGCAACGCAGCTGGCTGCAGGTTCACAGGATTAGCCCCTCCAAGGTGTCGATCCCCCAGACACCAGCCCTGATTTCCTCGGCAGCTGGCTGGTTGCCATTTCAGAGCCAGACATGTCACCAGAGAGGCTGGAAGGGGACGGCCCCAGCCAGCAGCTCTTAAACTTACTAACTCTGTTGTCACATGCTGGGTGAAGCCGATGGGGGCGATGCCGTAGGTGCCGATGACCAGCAAGGTGATGAGGATGTGGACAAAGGTGATCCAGTATGTGAAATATGGCCTGTGGAGGAAAGGACCCAAAATCTGAGCCGCTCAAGGATGGCTGGGCAAAGGGATGCTGCAGTCCCCCAAGCATTGAGGGGCGCATGCATCTGAGTTACATCTGAGGAGCCCCGTGCCCATCCCCGTCCCATCGGTCCCCCCTCACCGGTGGCTGTCGGTGATCTCCAGCTGCGACTGCACGATGCTGCTCAGGCTGCGGCGGTACGTCCTGTTCAGCCACTTCCCCACCACCCCCAGCCCGTAGTAGCGTTTCTTGCGGTCGAAGGCAAAGTGCTTCACTTTGGAAGCGATGCGCCTGCCTCGCCGGGGAGCCGGGCCGGCGCCCGCGGGGGCCGAAGTGAGCCGGACACCCTCCTGCCTGCAGAGAGAGGAGAAACCCATCACGCCTGCCGAAAGGGGCCAGCTGAGAAATTCCTCACGTGCAACCCCATGGCCACAGCTCAGAGCTGGGGAAGGCCGGAGGATGCCTGGGATGAGGGCTCGGGGCACGTCTTGGCTTCGTCCTCCTAGGAGCATGCCAAAAGTGCCCAGTGCCCCGCAGCAGGGATGGCGAGGGACATCGTCCTGACCGTGGCAGGAGACCTGGGCGGCCTCGGGGGCAGCACTGGCCGAGAGCTGGTACTCACGGGGTGGGCTGCTCCACCTCGGGGGACACCCTGGCATCCTCCCCCGCCGGGTGCATGCGTAAATACGTGGCTGACAGAGGCGGCGACTCGAAGACATCATCAGGCATGGAGTATGTCTCATCGTGCATATCCATCTGGAGGGAGGACAGAGACGTGTTTTTGGACACGTGCGACGGGTGAGAAGCCTCCCTCTGCCTGAGCGTGCCCGTCACCGGGGCAGCCCAGCTCCAAAGCCTGGGGAGGGGGGATCCCCACTGACAGCCCATTACCTGCACGTCACAGAGTGTGAAACACGCCCAGGATGGCGGCATCGCTTCCCACCACCCCCAAGGAGCATCACTGAGCCCGGGGCTCTGCAGCACTGGGCACAGTGGCCACCCACGTCCCTGCTCCCAGGCAGGGTGAAGCACCGACACGGGGGTCCCTGTCAGAGCCCCATTCCACATCCAACCCCTGGGCAGGGGCACCGGGACCCCCCCCCAGCTCCGGCAGCCAGCATGGAACAGCACTTGCCTTACTGAAGAAGGATGAGTCCAGGGTATCCACAGCATCCACCATGTCCTCGTCCATGAAGCTGGGGTACATGAAGCTCCTCTTGCTCCTCTGCTTGGCAGTCAGTGGCTCCAGGACAGAGCGTCCCTTTGGCATGGGAAGCAAATGAGGGTAAGCAACCAGAAGACCCCCAGTTTCTGCAGCACTGAGGGTTTCTCGTAGCTTCCCTCGCCAAAGCCGAGTGGCAAGGATTAAATCCCAACCAACCACCTTATCCCGCCACGTGGGAAGGGCAGGCAGGAGCAGGCAGCAGATGTTGCCTTTAGCTCCTCACAGCCAGTGCTGGACCATGACCATGTTAGCATGACAAATGAACTCCGAATCCCATTTGGTCTCAGTTCCACAAACCTGTCCCCAAGGCTTGCCCATGGGCTAGAAAGCTCCTGGAGAAGCTTCCTGGCTCCTCAGCAGTGAAACCCAGAAGCCACTTTTTTCTAGGGATGTCCAGTTTTCACCAAAACTTCTCTTTTTAAGCAGAGCTCAAGTTAAATCCCACCAACCTTCCACCTCAAACCCACCCTGGAGAGACAGCGATCTCTGTGCAAAGCAAAAAGCCAAGAAGCAAAGAAGACGGGCGAGGGACAGAGCTGAAACACTGGTCAGGAAGCTGACGGCATCCCCCAGCTCCCCAAAACTCACGCGGAGAAGGGCAGCGGCTGCCTTGAAGCTCATGTGGGCCACGGACTCCCTCTTCCTGCGTGGCAGGCGGCCGTAGCCGGAGCGGATGCTGTTGAAGGACGCCAAGGAGACGACGCCGGGGGTGAGCGGGGGCAGGACGTGGTGGGGTGTGTGGGGACGGTCGGTCTCTTCGGGATGGCGGAAGGGACGGCCCCTGGCCAGCGGGTCCACGATCTGGGGGAGGGAAGAGGTGTCGGTGCTGGGAGAGCAAAGCGGGGGACCGGACCCCACACCCTGAGCTCTACCTTGGGCATCTTGGCGGGCTTGGGCGACTCCGTGCCTTGGAAGGAGGGCACCTCCTGGCTGGGCAGCTCCATGTCGCGATAGGCAGGCTTCAGCCTGCCGTATCTCATGCTGCAGTGCTGCAAGCTCTTGCGTTGCCATTGCTGCCGCTTGCCCTCCCAGTCGCTACTGACGCCAAACCATTGCGCTGTGCCCCTGGACACATGACGGGCACACTTGTCACCCGAGCTGATCCCCCCCCACCCGGGTACCACCACCCCACCCGACCATCCGCTCCAGCAGGTGATTTGGGTTGGGGGTGTCTCAGCTCAGCAGTTTTGACCTGGCTACGGGTCTCAGGGAAGGGGAAAGGGAAGAGGTGCAGCAGAGGGGTTGACGGCCTTTGGGTTTCTCTGGAGAGGTAACTCCATTGAGAGTTGCACCTTGCACGGGATGGCACATCAGCTCTGGGCTGCAGCAGACGTCCAGCTCAAGGTGCTTGTGAAGGCCCTATGGAAACAGGGCTGATAAACTTCCCCAATGTGCCAAACAACGGTGTGAATCAGCACCAACCAGTTCTGCTGCAGGACTATCCCCAGGCAGACACCAGCGAGTCAAAGCAGAGCTGCACGAAACCCTCCAAGGCGTTCCCTTCTGAGCTGCGACTCTCCATCCCCATCCCAAGTCCTCTGCTGGCACCCACAGCCACAACCCCTCCGGCGACCCAGCCGCTGCCAGAGCCCACCCTGCCCTCACGCTGCCGCTCCCCAGCCCTCACTTGCGGATGCTCTGGGACAGGGAAGTTTGCCGGCGGAAGCCGGGCTGCCGCTCCGAGCTGTCGCATCCTTTCGAGCGGGGCTCCTGCAGGCTCTTGCTCTTGCGGTAGATGGGGACTTTGGAGGGCTGAAAAGCAGAGCAGAGAGTTAGGGACAGGATGGCATGGGGGGGGATCTCTGGGACACGGCAGCCCCCCCCCCCCCCAAGGCCAGTGTGGGATGGATGCAGCTCCCCGTTGCTCACCTCCTTGCGGGCGCCATCCTCCTCCGCCTCGCGTGGGGGGATGATGATGGAGAGGTTGGGGGGCTTCTTGCTCTGCAGGCGGCTGCTGCTGGAGTGGCTGCCCCCGTTCTTGTTGCCTGACATCTCGGGCTGGTGGGGGTTGGCAGGCTGCAGGGGGGGGTTGGTGCAAGGAGTCAGCCAAAGGGGAAGAAATAGCTCCCCAGGAGCTTGTGTGTGGGGAAAGGCTGGGTCCCAGTGGGAGATGGGGCCTCACCAGTGGGATCTCACCAGCCTCAGCCTCCTGTGCCCCTGGCCATGCTGCTGAGACCTCGTCACCATCAGCCCAGCCGCTGCGCCCCCAAAACCTGCTCCCCTCCCCAGGTTTGGGTGGACAGGAGGGCTTCCATTGCCCATTCGCTCCCAGTCCACTGGGACCAGCAGCACCTCCCCTCCACCTGCTGGGAGCAGAGCGAGGGGTGGCAGGAGCGATAGGGTGAGAGCATCCCTGCCACCCCAGCACGTGCCTGTGGGACACCCGGGTTTCACACCCCTGTCAGGATGAGCCTGACCAACTCAGCATGTGCATGGGAGACGTGGGAGGGATCCCTGCAAGCCCCGGCCGGGCCCCTGGCACACAGACACAGCTCTTGGACACGGGGGCACCAGCACCCACGGTTCAGCCCAGTGAGGGAGCTGAGGGGGGATCGCAGGCGCTCCTGGGGGGTCTACAAAGAGCTCACCTTGACCGTGCAGGGTGGGAAAGGGAGGGGACACAGCCAAGCAGGGGGCATGCACCTGATTCACATCCCCATTTACACCACAGCCCTCCCGTGGGGGACGGGTCCTGCTGCAGTGAGAGGGGATGGGGCAACCTGTGCCACCTCTGGCCATGGAGCCGGGACCCCCCACGTGTCAGGGTGCCCCGTGGGAGGGGAGATGAGGGACATTCCCCTCTGGCATGTGCATGCACACGCCAGGCTGGGAGACTGACTCCTCCCCGGCACCACGGGCAGGGAGGGGGAAGCTTAACAGCCAAGAGGTGGTTAATTCCTTGAGAAATCCCCTCCCGAGGGTCTGTCTCTACTTGGCAGGACCTCGCAGGAAAGGTAATTCCATCTGAGCATGAGGGAGTTAGTCCCAGATCCTACTAGGGGCTACGACGGCTCTCTCTTGAAGGGAGTCACAGCCCCCTCTGGCTTCTTCCCATCCCCGCCAGCCACGTGCCAGTGCTCAGGGGACTCACACTGGTCTTACAAGCACCGCTTGTCCCCCCCGCCACAGCCATGGCCATGGGGATGGTGCCATCTGCCACGCTCACCCCGTGCAGGATGCCAAGAGCTGGCCACCAGGACCGGCATCCCCACAGGACCTGCTCACAAAGGGAGATGGGAGCTGGCCCTCTCCACCCGAGGGGGATGGCAGAGTCCCCTGGGGGGACCCGGTGTCTGCTGGGGCTCCTCTGCTGCCACCCACCACCACCAAGTTGGAGCTCAGAGTTCAACAGTGCCACTGGCTGCAAACCTCCACCTCGACCCATGGGCCTGGCTCCTCTCTCTGCCCAGGACCCCCATAACCAGCCCAGCCATCTGGCCTCATACTCTGCTCTGCTCTCATCGGGTAAGGGTGCTCAAACAGTCAGCTGGGCGATCGAGACCCCCTCAGCCCCTTCTGCAGTGGGGTCCCCCTCAGCAGCACGTGCCCCAGCAGGAGGCAAGCACAGGGGTGCTTCTGTGCCCCCCCGCCCAGCATTCCGAGTCCCAAGCACGACCCTCCCCTCAGACCCCACCACAAGCAAAGCCTGGCTTTAGGAGCATGGGGTCCCCATGGGACCAGCTCCCTGGGGACATGGGAGCCCGGAGCCGGTGGCACTAGAGAGTGTCACTGCTCTCTGCCAGCTCCTGGGCCAGGTGACAGCCCGCTGCTCCTGCCTGCCCCTGCACGGCTTAAAATCATTGCTGGGCTAGCTGGGCTACCACAGGGCAGGCACGGGGCGAGATGCTGGAGACACAAGACACGTGTGTGGCAGGGGGAATGCCAGATGCCACCTGAGCGATGGCTTCACTAAGGCCCCTCGGTCGAGGGGCACCAGCAGCCCTGGCTGGTGGCAGGGCAGGGCCCTCGTTCCTGAAGTAGCCCCGCTCCTCTCCGACCTCGGCAATAAATCAGTTCATGGTGGGATCCCGATGGGAAGGCGCAAGGCAGCCATCACACCAACGCCACAAGGACCCGGCAAGATGTTGCTGGGGGCAGTGCCTGTGACTGCAGGCAGCATCCCGGCACGCTGCCTGCCTCCCCTCCTCCCCAGAGGCACCGAAGCAGCACCCTTGGGTGCTGCCGGCAGCTCAGCTGCTGCCTCACCCCTCGCTGCCGTTAAGCACCAAAGCTGGGAACAACCAGCCCACAGATTTCTCCTGGGGGCTCACCCAGTGTTGGTCCCCGCCGGGGTCTCCCTACCTCATAAGAATGGCAGGGATCCTGTGCAGCACGTCTTGATAGCAAACACCTGCAGCAGCCTTCCTCTTCTTCCTCCTCCTCCGTCCTTCACGCACTGAAGCCCCGGAGCACGGCCAAACTCCTCCTGCCTTGCCCGGGGAGAAGAAAGCCTGCAATGAGAAGCCACGCATGGGAAAGCAAGCGAGGGCCTGCAGGAACATCCCGGGCAGAGGGAGAGCTGAGCTCAGTGCTCCCCGGGCCCTGGGGCTGCCAGTGGCCGGACAGCGGGGACACAGACCAGCCGCTGGCACAGAGTGGCACAAGGAGGAAAAGCCGCTGTTTCCAGCGACGCACCTTGCTCCGTGGCAGGGGAACCACACAGGACAGGCAAGGATTTTTCACCTGCTCCTGCCAGGCAAAGCTCTCAGGAAGCGAGACACCCACAGAGAGCGGGCACGGAAAGCGAGTGCCTTGCTGAGGTATTTAATAGCTGCTAAGCTGGGAGAACGCCAGCCGGGCGGTCCAGCCCCAGCAAGCAAAACTTTCCATCCCGCTGGTGAGCTGGAGATGTTGTTTGTTTTCCTCCCAGGGCAGCCAGCAATGAGCTCGAGATGCCAGCTGCTCTGGAGGGCTGGGGATGGGAACGCACCGGGGCCGGAGGGAGCCCTGAGGCACCCTCATCTTCCCTCACCCCTGAGGAACAGCTCTCAGTGGCAGGGCCTGAAGCAGCCAGAAGCACAGAAATTGGAACCGAACTGCATCGTTCGGAAGTGCAAGAGGACATGGTGCATGCCCCTGCTTCTACACCCCTGGCCTGAAATCCCATCCCTAACGCTCTCACCACACCCCAGGCAGCCCTTGAAAAGGACCTCTGTGCTTCCTGGCGAAGGAGGTTTGCAGCACATTTAAAAGCCTGGTCCCGCTCCCCACGGGCTCCCCACGCAGCGTGGGTGGAGGGATGGACCCGACCTCCCCCAAGATCCCGGGGGAGCTGGCACAACCCAGCGGGCACCTGCCGTCCCGGTCATGCCACGCAGCCGGAGCAGTTTTCACGGCTCTGTGCCTTAATGCAATATTTGGCATTGAGAGAGAGGGAGGAGGAGGGGAGCAGCTCCTGAGGGCTGAAGTCCCCTTGGCCACATGGGTTGGGGACAGCAGCCACCCCCCGAGCACGGATCCTGAGCTATAAGAAGATTTACCCTGTGCCAGCTGGAAAAATCCCCCTGGGACGGTGCTGGGAAGGCATTTTCCAGCTCCCCACATGTTTGGCCCTGGCACCGACCCTGGCGGCACTGGCACCGCTCTCACCCCATGCGCTCAGCAGGTGAAGGGATCAGCCAGCACCCCCATCCAGACCAAACCTGCCACGAGCCCGGCCCTTCAGGTCCCCTTTGTCCCCTTCACCCTCCCAGCCCCGGGACGGAGGGCTATGCCACCAGGAGCACCGTGTTCTGCCCAGCAAACTCACGCTCAGGGCACAGCCCGGCTCCCCGGAGAGCCTCAGCCCGGTCCCCAGGCACTCGGGGTGGATGTGGTGGCTCTGCCTTAGGGACAGGAAAGGGAAGTGAGAGGCGACACGCTGAGCTGGCAGCTGCACCAACACCCTGCTGTGGGGACAAGGTGGTGACAGCAGCGGGGGGGTGATGGACACGGGACTTGGCACCCACGAGTGCATGCTGAGCTTGGTAGGAGCTGTGCTTCCAGCTGAAAGAGGGGTCCTAGGATAGCACAGTGTCTCTCCAGGGAGAGAGAAAATGCACTGGGGATGCTGCCATCACCCGTGGGGGAGCAATAAATGGGCAGGGGGGGTGGAGGGGGTAACCTGGTCTGGCCAATACAAAGAAGAGATCCCCCACCATCACCATTTTCCCTCTCAAAGCTCTCTTGTCCACTGAAGCTCACCAAAACCTGGCATCCAGCAGTGGCCCATGCCCCAGCAGCAGGTGGGTAAAGCCCCCATTCCCTCCCAAGAGGGTAGATGTGTTGGGATCACTGGTGAGCAACTGGGATGAGGTTTTACTTTTCAGCCAGGCAAGGCACAGGGAGGGTGACCAGGGCTGGCTCCCAGCCCTGAGGTGAATCACGACAGACACTGACCCAACAAAGCACACCCAAGGAAGAAGGTGATGGAAAAAGTGATGTGGCTTGTACCAAGTGTCACCATGGGACACACTGGGATGCTCTGAGCAATGCAAAGGGACCGCCAGCAAGGCCGAGAGGCAGCCTGCAGAGCAGAGCTGGGGACAACCAAGCACAACCGTCGTACGAGGCACCGGAGACAACCCTGCAGAGCAGCCCTGGTTGGAGGGGGATGTATGCAGCGCACAGCGAGCGCATAGAGGCTCAGAATCGCTCTCCCTGAGCCTGTTGGTGTGAAGGGAGACAACATTACTGGTGCTGGAATATAAGTGCATCAGGCTGGTGCAATTAAGGTGGGAGGAGAAAGCAGCTCTGAGCCACCCGAGGGCGCGGGGCCAGCAGTGGGACCCCCGTGAGCACCCGAGCACCCATCACCCCCATCACCCTGAGCCCCTGCTCTTCCCTCTCCATCTCTGTAGGGGAGCAAGAAAGGGGTTGGCGATGCCGCGGAGCCCCCAAAACACCCCCACAGCCATCGCGGACGCTCGCACCCAAGAGCCCATCAGGCAGAGCGTGCTGCTGCTGCGCGCTAACGGCTGCCATAAATGATTCATGAGCGCGTTAAAGACCTTTCTCCAGGCTGGAGCCCCGTTAAAAGGTGCTCCTGGTTATTAAGAGCCCCGGATAGGAAAGTCAGTCAGTCCAATCGCTCCAAGCATTGAGCCCCTGCGGCCTCGCACCCGCGTGTAAGACCCCGAGCGGCCGCCCAGCACCTTCCCCTGCTTCTGCTCCCCTTCTAAAAGCTTTTTACCATTTTCCAGTCTCAAGTTTCAGATCTGAGAGAAGCAGCCTAGCACAAACAGCTCTTGAAATGAAAAGATAGGATTCAAAAAAAAAAAAAAAAAAAAAGGAAAAATACTTCTGGAATGGGGAACTTGGGGAACTAAGTATCTTAATATTTTTCTTTCTTCTCAGAAAGCCCAGACCGATGTGTGTCTCAGTCCCTCATGGACCCACTCAAATGGGGAGACCTGGACAGCACCAACCCCCAAGCTGAGGAGCAGCCAGGCTCTGTCTGCTGTCTCCCTCATCCCAACCTCTGCTTATCTTTTGTGCTTTGAGTATTTAGGCTTTTTTTTTTTAAAAAAAAGGACATTTTATGGTACCACAGCAGGAACCCTCCTGTCCCCAAGAGACTTAATGTCCCTGTACAGCCCCATGCCCACACCACAGAAACATCCCCCAAGCCCACGCATGGCCATTTCACACCTCAGCACCGTGACATCACATCGATTATTTTTTTTCTCCCCCACCACAGAAAAGACAACTCCATCTTCTACATGTGCCAACCCCTCTGCAACGGGACCGGTCAGCAAACCTGCAGGATTTCACTCTGAGTTTTCAGAGAGGACAGCTGTGTTTCAGGGGGGTATTTTAAGCCGCCCCCTCCTGCACCAGCACCCTCAGGAGCTTTAATCCCCATCTCCAGCACGGCTGCTGGGGTAGCAAGACGGGGTACGGATGTTTGATGGGCGGTGAGAGCCCAGCCAGCCCCCGGGACACGCAGGCAGCCGACACGCACCTCGGCCCCCCCCCACCCCACGCTGCCATTAGGAAATCCTCTCCCATTTTCTACGTCGGGCAGGACATTGGGAAACCGCAGCGAGTTTGTTCAGCCCGGACCAGCTTGGAGTGTGCGGCACGCCCTGGGAGGAGGCAAAGCTACCGGGGGAGACGGAGCGTGCCGGCCGGGGGGACCGCGCTGGGTGCTGCTGATAAAGGCGCAGCGGGCAGAGCCCTGCCTGCCCACGGGGAAAGGATGCTGGGGGGGGTGCCTGGCTGCTCGAACCATCGCACAAGGTAACCACCACGTACTGGGCTTCCCCGCAGCAAGGGTTTGCTGGCCGGGAGCGTGCGTGGCCCTGGTCTCTCCGGCAGTCCTGGGTGGCACGGCCGGTATCGGCACGGAAAGGGATGGATTTACCTGCGGGATCGGGGAGCGGGTGGGAAGAGCCACGCAGAGGATTTCCTGCATCCCAGCCACAGCTTGCTTCCCACCCTCATTAATTTTTAGCAGTGCAATGACACACCCCCCCCCGCCCCAGCAGAGCGAGTACCAGCACCCAAAGGTTTCCTGACCCGCTGGGGTGGGCAGTGAGCCCCAGTGAGCCAGACTCCCTCTGTGCCGCTCCCCACCCACCCCACACCTCCCTGCTCCCCCCTCCTGGGGGGGTCTGTGCACCCCCACAGCAGAATAACCCCAAATAGGCGGCACTGTGCGAACCCACTCTCTGCTTCCCACAGCCCAGACGTGCCGGCTGGGGCGGTGGGTGCTGCCGGAGGGGCCGTGGCCGCGCAGGGGGACCCCCAGCCCACCGGCCCTTTCCTCAGGCTGGAGCCCAAGCCCAGTGGGGAACGTGCACGTGGTGGCTTTGAGTCACCCCAACAACTTCGGAAAGAGCAAAGGTCAAAAGTCTCCACCAGCAGTGAGGGAAGCAAGGGCAGCTCCGTGGGTGAATGTGCAGAGGGGTCGGCTGCTCCCTGGCAGCCCTGCAGGCAGGGTTGCAGCACTCCAGACCCAAGGAAAGCTCTTTTCCAGGCACCGCTCGGATTCCCCAGGCTACCCAGATTGATTTAACTTGGTTTTATCAAAGAACTGAGTAATTACTCAGAGCTACTCTGATTCCTCGTTAGCTTGGTTAAAAGATGGGGGTGCATGGGCATGATGGTTCAAGTGCTTCAGCCCCGGTTGCACCTTCTGGGAGGGGATGAGGGGTCCCGGGTCGTTATTTACCTGAGGCAAGAGGAGCAGCCTGCCTGCAGGCCATCTGCCTGTGACCCCCATGCCATAGGTTGTTACTGAGTTCATTCTCACTTCCCTCTTCAAAGCAAAATTCTTGGTGCGAGAGGACAATGGGGATGCGGGGGTACATTTCTTCCTCTGGTTCTTCTGCAAAACGCTCATTTCGACAGCAACTTCTGGCATGAGGGCTCAGGTCAGATTTGCAGACTTCCCCAATCCCCCGCTGCCTGTTTCCGAGAGCACCGAGCCACGCAGAGCAGCACCAGGGTGGGCAAAACACCCCGTATTTGCAGAGGGTCCCCTTGCTGTGAGCTCTGAGCACCCCCACACCGTGTGGGATTTGGTGCTCAGCCCCATGTACAAATTTGGCTCATCCCAGGCACAAGATGAGCCCCAGGCTGGCAGCAGGACGAGCCCCTATCTCTGGGAACAGGCTCCTTATCTCAACGCAGCCACTTCAAGGCTTGTACAATGCGGCTGCTCTCCCCACCGCCCCCCCCTGTGCAAAGGGAGAGGCCTGGGTAGACACCAGCAGCCTCCTTCAATCCCCCCTGGGGCCAGGAGCTCCCTGAGGAGAGGGGACAAGGACTTTGTGGCGTCCCTTTGTGCCGTGGATGAAGGTGGCACCTCCTCTAGCAGCGGGTGCCCCTCAGATACCCCATTAAGCTTCAGTGCTCCCCTGGCCCCGGTGCTCCCTGCCCACCTCCCTCCTCCCAAACACCAGCAGCCAAACATGGGCCACTCCTCGGCCTCATTCCCTTCAGTCCCGATTGCCCCGAGGCCAGGAGCACCCAGGGTCGCACCCCGCAGAGGAAAGCCTGACCGGGAACAGCTCATCCCCACCCAACGCCGCGCAAGCCCGGCACTGGGGATCCTACGCTCTCCAGTGCCTACGGAAACCGCGTGATGCTCCCCTCCCCACCGCAGCATCGCCGTGGATCCGTGCCAGCGATGCACTTTGCAGCCTCTCGGTCTCCCCCACCATCCTCATCCTCCTCCTGCCTGCCCATCCCACCCCAGGGGTGCTGCGCTCACAGGGAAGCCACACAGCTCACTGCAGAAAGCTGGCGATGCTGATTTTTAAGGAGCAGTCTCCACGTCTTCCCCAGGAGCGCTTGGACTGGGTTAAACCACCACCTGCGTGAGCCAACTTCACCCTGGTTATGCCATCACCCCTGGAAAAGCCTGACGCCAGCAGCGCGGTGCTGGTCCCGGCAAGACTTCCCTGCTCACGCCGTGGAGGAGCTGAAGAAAGGGCAGGACACGCCAACGCCGGGCATCGGGGATTCGCCCCGGCTGCCCAGGAGCATGGCGTGCAGCCTTCGGGCTTACACGCAACGACAGGTCACTCCCAGCCCTGCCCCGGCGTTCCTGCAAGCCGGCGAATTACGGGGATAAGCACGTCAAATCCCCGGCACAAGCTGCTGCATGACGCACGGGGAGCGAAGGCCGGCACTGGCACTTTGGGCATCTCGGGGGGCACCAGCCACATCTCCCCTGCCCCGAGCAGGGCTGTCAGGCCAGGTGAATTCACCAGGATTTATTATTTTTCAGCAAAAGGCAATTCAAATAGAAAACAAACAACAAACCCACAGACTGCTAGAAGGAAAGGCCCTTTGCCCTGAGTGCTACAGCACCCCAAAAAGGTGCCTGCAGATGGGGGGGATGGCTGGGCACACAGCAGCCCCCAGGATGGGAGCAGAGGGCAGGTGCATCCCACCGAGGAGTGACCGGCCATGCAGGGCTGGACATCCAGCACAGAGACCACGTCCCCCCGGCACTGGCTGATTTCTCCCTCCCATCCAATGGCAGCAGCCTGGGAAAAAGCTGAGGAGCATCACTGGGCACTCACCCTGCTCCCCACCCCTGCCCTGTGCCCCACCACAGCCTCCTGCACCACGGGTGTCGAGAGAGTTGGTTTGCACCCACGTTCCCCCCCTCTCAGGGTATAGCCACAGCGGCAAACCCTGCACCGGTAGCTGCTCAAACTCACCTTGAGGTGATAAGCAGTGGGTTTCACAGGAGACCTTCACGCTTTCTGACTCATTTGTGGCATTTCATAGGTGGGGAAACTGAGGCACTGAATACGGTAAGACTCCCTGCCTTCCCACCCCTCCGCTGCCCTGGCAAGCGGGAAGCTGGTCTCTTCCCTGGGCAGCTTGTAAGGACTTTATCAAAGGCCGTACAACTCCCCCAGATTTAACTTATTGGAAGATGAGGGAGGAGGGGGGAAGCCCTCACATGCAAACCCCATAAATATTTGATTTCCACAAGGGGTGCAGGCTGCCCCCCTGCCCTCTCAAAATAATTCGTTGGGGGTTGTCCCTGCCCTGTGAACATGAGTAGCACCCCGCAATGCTGGCCCTCGGGCTGCAGGTCCCCGAGGACGAGGGGGACACTGGGGGCCTCTGCAGTGGCCAAGAAGAGGGCAGGGTTGGTCCCGGGGCCACTCAGCACGTGGACCTTCCCCAAGGCATCCTCCCCGGGTCTATTCCCCACCCCAAATGCCTCATTAAGAGAGCAACCACCAACCAACCACTTCGTGGTTTTTAAGAAACTGGGATTAAGTGAGAAAAAGGCCACCAGCGCCAAGGGTTTCTTCCATACTCGCAAGCACGTGCACAGCTTTCAGTGCACACTCAGGTGCCAGGAAACGACCATAACCCAAAGCACCACACGCTCCCAAACAACCACAGCTCGTAATTAAAAGGGATCGTGCCCGTCCCCACCAGGCTCTCATCATGTCCAACATCTCCTGGCTGGGCAGGACAGTGAGGACCAGCAGTCATTAGATAAAAAGCTCTTCAGGAAGGGAAGAGTTTATTATCCCATCACTTCTGGGCTCGTATAGATTTAAGTAATTAGGTTTTGGCATTCATTAATTGACACCTTCGGTTCAGAGCCCCTGCCAGCACCCAGCCCATGCTCACTCCTCCAGGTTCAGGTCCCCACAGGGCTTCCAGTGCCCGTGGGAAACGTGGAAATGTCTTGGGAGCCCGGTGCCAGCCTGGGGCACAGCAGACAAGGGACAGCGGGAGAAGGACAAGCCCTCTCCTTGCAGAGTGTGGCACGTTGCCACGGATGCTTTAGGACGTGGGACCAGGGCTCCCACCACTCCACTCTCCCCACCTCGGCCGGTTCTCCATCACTCGCCCCCCACTTTCTTTGGCAACGAGCACTGTTTTGACTCCAAGCTCATCCCGAGCATTGTTTTCAGATCAAGATCAACAACCTAAGGGAAGGAATAAGGATTTATTTGGGGGAATCCCCCAGCTTCACTGTAAGAGTTAAATGGGAACAGCATCAAAGGACAAAACACAGACCACGTGCTCGTCTCAGCCCAGCGCAGCCAAACGCCACCTGAATTCCCCAGCTCCCCCAGTGCATCCTAAGGAGTGCAGACCCCCACTACCCCCCCACACACCGAAGGCAGACAACACAGCCAGCCCCCTTCCCCTCCAGATTCACACCCTGGTGCTCCGCATCCCCATCACCCAAGCTGCTCCCCATCCCCAGCTGGCATCCTTTGTTCCTCCTGCCGGCATCCCCGCTCCGGCAATGCCGCTCTCTCCCATCGCGCTCGCACGTGCATCTGAGAGCGACACCAGACTCAGCCCCCCTCTTGCAGAATTTGTACCACGGTGGCTGTTTCGGCATTGAACCCCCCTCCCCCACACTGTGGTTTACCCTTTCTCACCCCGGGGCTCGCAGCACCTTCAGGTGCAGTTTCCAGCGCAGCTGCAGCGATGACAGAGAAACACCCCCC